CCTGGTCCAGCTTCGGCTTCTGCTTCGCCTGGTCCAGCTTCGGCTTCTGCTTCAGCTTCGCCTGGTCCAGCCTCTGCTTCTGCGTCGGCCTCGTCTGGTCCTGCAGCTGCCACGCCGCCGCCCATGCCACGTTCTGCACCTCGGAATCGCCGGCCACGTTCCGGGCCACCAGCTGGACGTCATCGCCGTCGAGGTCGGCCCCCAGAACTGTTTCCCCGTCACCGCCGTTGCCGTCCGCACGATCGGCCCCCTGAAATGCTTTCCCCTTGGCTCCTATACTGTCGGGACCGGGGTCGGCCCCCTGAACTATGTTTCTGGACTCTATTCCCTGCAGCCCATGGTTGTTCTTGGCCCGCCTGTTTTGTTTTGAATGGTTTCCAGGGCCCCTGTGCTTTTCATGAACATTTTGTGTTGGACTATTTTCTGAGTTCCTGTGCTGGACATTTTGGTTTTGTTCCGAGAAACAACACAGTGAGCACAGGAGGTCAACAAAAAATCAGCAAAAGACAAAAGGGACCCTCACACTGTGCCGAAAGAAAACGAGTGCGCGTGAGATAACACGAGCCTTCAGCCTGACTACTTTATCAAAGACATAACAATATGCTGCTAATGTTAGATAAACCTTGTTCCCAAACACCAGCTCTGACAAGTTATTCTCACTCTGAATTTTAATGGAAGTAATTTGTTTGTTATGTACAGTGCATCTACAAATATTCACGGTGCTTCACTTGTTCCACCTTTTTTCATGTTGGGGCCTTATTCCAAAATATATAAATTTCATTTTCACCTTGAATTTCTACACATAATATCCTATAATGACAAAGGGAAAAACGATTTCTTGAGATTCTTGCAAATTTTTAAAAAATAATATGCATAAGTATTCACAACCTTTGCCATTATGCTCAAAATTGAGCTCAGGTCCACCCTGTTTCCGCTGATCATCTTCATCATCAGATGTTTCTGCAACTTGATTGGAACCTACCTGTGGTAAATTCATTGACTGACCATGAATTGGAAAAGCACACACCTGTCTGTATAAGGTCCTATAACTGACAGTATCAGTGCACAAAGCAAGCCATGAAATCCAAGGAATTGTCTGTAGACCACTGAGATAGGATTGTATCAAGGCACAGGGAAGGGTGCAGAAACGTTGTGCAGCATTGAAAGACCCAATGAACTCAGTGGTCTCATCATCTGTGAATGACTCAGGACCAGGACTCTTCCTAGAGCTGACTGCCTGGACAATCTGAGCAGTCAGAGTAGAAGGGCTTTAATCAGGGAAGCGCCATGGTCCCTCTCACAGAGCTCCAGCATTTCTGGTTGGAGAGAGGAGAACCTTCCAGAAGGACAGCTTTTCTGTTTAAACAGGCCTTCTGTTGATTATTTATTTAAAATTGATCAATTGTTTTATCTTAAATTACCTGTTAATCTTACTGTATTACATTTAAACTTTTGTATTGTCTATACTGTCTATTTTGGTACCTAACTTTCTGTTTATTTTAGCCTTTTATGTACAGCGCTTTGTGACTGCCTGTCTATGTAAAGCACTTAATAAATATACTTACTTCCTTACTGCATTAATTTCTTTTGAACTCCACAAATCAGGTTTGTATGGTAGAGTGATCAAACAGAAGCCAATCCTCAATAAAAGGCAATGAAAGCCCATCTGGAGTTTGCCAAAAGGCACCTGAAGAACTTTTAGAACCATGAGAAATTTCCCTGGTCTGGTGAAGAATATACCATAAAGAATACCAGGCACCCCCTCATCAACTAGCCAATACCATCACTACAGTGAAGCATGGTGGTGGCAACATCATGCTGTGGAGATGTTTTTCAGAAGCAGGAACTGCGAGAGACAGGGTGGAGGTAAAATCCATGAACGCATGCACAGACATCCTTGATGATAACCTGCTCCAGAGCACTGTGGACACTGTCATAACAGAGGAGTGGCTTTGGCAACTGAATGCCTTTGAGATGCCCATCCAGATCCCAAACTTGAACCTGATTAAACATCTCTGGAGAGATCTGAAAATGTCTGGTCACCTACCCTCCCCATCCAAGGTGATGGAGCTTGAGGAGTTCTATGAAAGAGAATGGGAGAAATTGCCCAAAAAATAGGTGCACCAGGTTTGTAGCATCCCACTCAAAAAGACTTCAGGCTGTAACTGCTGACAAAGGTGCTTTAACAACATATTGAGGCCGTGGATACTTTAAAAACATTTCATTTGCAAGAATTTAAAGTAAACCTTTTTCCTTTGTCATTATGATGTATTGAGTTTGGAATTTTGAGGTGAAAAATGAATTTGGTCCTTTGTGGAATGAGGCTTTAACATGCTAAAATGTATAACGTGAAGAGAAACACTTTCCAGATGCACTGTATTCTTTCTGTGAACTGAATTTAAATAGACAAAAACATTGTTTCTTCATTACCACAAAATCTGTTTTTGCACAACCTCACAAAAACGAAACACTTATGCAGCATACTCTAGAAGAATGCAGTGAGCCCACTTCACAAAACTGGCTGTTTATCATAAAAAATATCTCCTGAGAAATAAAAATAATTTCATTTGTGGAGCTAAAGCAATTACAAATGTCAGACATACCAGTTTTGCCCTTCTTCCTCTCCCCCTCTATGTAATCTTATGGTAACTGGTCTCAGTTTGTTACGGGTCAATGTGCGCATGACGTGAGACAGCTTTCACACAAACTCTGTAGCAGAAAATGTGTGAACACTTTCCCTCAGGCAATAAAAAATAAATGATCACTTGTTTAAAGATGTCCTGGCTCAGAGGAGAATGGAAAGCCAAAGTGAAACTGGAACTTGGGTTCATAACCAAAAGGAAAAGAAAAATGCCATTATAATCAAAACTTTAATAGTGCAATGATACTTGCTTATCTCTCCCTATTCAACAGTGTAAAAGTTATGTTTATGCTATTTGTCAAACCATTATGTTTTACCATAACTAAACAGTACTATTAATCATTTATTTTAAAAAGAAATGTCAGTGTTTAAAAGAACCATGACCTAGATACCCATAACCTTTATACCATCAACATAACAAGCTGTAAAGAAAGGAGTAGTTAAGTCGTCTTCTATTATAATTGAGAGATTAGGATGAAGGTGAAGATGTTTTTAGGAAAGCACTGATTATAACTGTTGAGCTCTCTTTACATTCTTTTTACATTCTGTAAAAAGGGATAAAAAAAATTCAAGGGAAAATGAAGATAGCGTCGGACCATTATGATCCACTAGAACAACTCTAATATTTCTTGGAATTAGAGCTGGCAGATTGAACGCATTTTTCTAAAACAACAACAACTACAACAACAACAAAAAATACTCTCTAATTAGGTGTGTTGATGTTGTCAGTAATAGTGGTGATGAATGCTGTCTCAAATGTCAGTCTAATATCCAAAATCCAGAAGTATTTAACTGTGCTAAGCACTGGTGAGTGCAAAAGCTACAGTGCGACTCACATCTATTTCACACTCATTGAACCGTTTAGTGACCCCGATGGTCTATGGATGGGGACATTGTCATATTTGAAGAGAACATTCCATCTGAAAGATTTAATCATAAGCATCAGGTAATCACCCAGAACAACTCTGCATTGATTTGCAGTTAACATTTCCCCTAAGGCCCCAGGTACACAGGACTAAAGACTATTTGGCGACTGCCTGGTTACCACTGGTTGCAAGGGAAACATTTGCATTCCTTGACCAGCAAGTAGTTGCTTGAGGTTGTTTCCTGTTGCTTGGTGAAATCAGCTGCCTTTGCACCTAAAATCTCCTCGGAATTGTTTTGGTTGCTAACAGATTCCTGTGGTCAGCCATACTTTTACTTGGCCAGGCAATGATTGGCTTCTTCTGGTTGGCATGGCACTTTTTCAAGTTTCACTACTGCTAAGTTAGTCAGCAAGTGTTGGCAGACCAGCTGGTATCGTCCATGCAGGCTATGAGTGAACATGGCAATCTGTTAGCAATCAAAGCAACTGCAAAGAGAATTTTGGTGCAGTACCTTATTTGCAACCAATTTCCCATTGCAGAGGTGGAAAAACTACTCACCAACCCAACAGGGAGTACACATACACAAGTCACTAAATGGTTTCTAGGTCTCTATGAAGCCTAATGTGGACAAGTTGTCTCAGTAACCAAATCAAAATGCGTCCTTGCAGGATAACAAAGCCACTGGATCCTCTGACAGCAGGTGTCAAAGATGTGGGATTTTTATAATTGGCTATCCTATTATGTCAATATCACCTTGAAGAAGAAAAACATTTCTTATGATATTTATCAAGCACTGAAAGAAAGATTAAAGTGACCATTAAGGATCGATTATAATGTGGCTCCTCAAGACATGACTGGATTAATTAACCACCAAGAAGTATGTTGGTGCTTAATGAACCTAGCGGGGCCTTGGTGTCTCATATTTAATTAACTTATTTACCTGTGTCCCATGGCAAAGCATGGTCACACTGAGACAAATTTGGGTGTGTGTATGTGTGTGTGTGTTTGATGTGTAATATTCTCACTTCTAAAAGCCCATTTTTCCTTTTATCTGCAAGCTGTTCTGTGCATTACGGACACTAGTTGTGTGGCTGTGCATTTACTTTTTCTGTATTTACCACAGCTATCTTCAACATCTAAGGCTTGACTATTGACTACAAAACAGAAGGTTCTTAAAAAAACCAAAACAAATAAAACCAAAGGCTATCCTTGAAAGCATAGTGAGGTTTTCCAGGATTTTCTTTCACTCAAAGTGTTTTTGTAAATGCTCTTCAACAGACTGTCAATTTTAGAAGACCGTGAATGCACTACACACACATCACCAGCAAGAGGGGAGCAGTCCTTCTCGTTAAGCTCAACGTACTGAATCTCCCCTAATTTTGGACAAAGAGCTCAGCCAATGTGGTGAAAAATAAAGCCCTGTTTTCACAGCATGTGTATTCTGTTTTTTGAACCACACTTCAATTAATGATCATCTGTTTCACTGTTTTTGAAAAAAAAAAAAAAAATGGCCTTCATAACGTATACATAACCTGGAAATTAATGGGGTCACTTTTCAGTTTCAGAACTGGATTTGAAATCATTTCACTGTATCTGAGTGTTTCACCTCAATAAATAAATCATTAGGTGAATGAATCAATTATAATCTCAGAAAAGACATTCTAGCGTTCGAGATGAATCGTACAAGCCTGTCTGAATGACTCCTGCACCACAACGTGAGCAGCCATATCAGAAGCACTTTGTGAATGAAATGGAGCAATCCCAAAGGCAGTTGTGACTGTAAGCCATTTTGTGCTATTTGTGGGTGTCATAATGACAAGCGGTCTCTTCACTGAATTGTTGTAATTTTTCACACCAACCACGATTGTTTCTGGTGGAGATTTGGTTTAACGGATTCGACATTAAATACATTTTAAAGTGCCAGTGAGAGTAGCGCAGGCTATTGTTAGCGTATTCTTCTGACTCTCTAAGGTTCTGTGAGATCCTTTATTCACCACATTGAGTCAGCAGAGAGAGCAGGAATAGCCTATTGCGCTATTGGTTAAGGAATTCTCAGATTTGACAGCGTGAATCAAATGATTCTGTCAGACAGATGGGATGATTCATATTAGCTAAAAGAATCCAAAAGGCTATGTATAATGCAGAAAAAGCACTTCCTTTTAAACAGATCCCCTTCCATCCTCTGACCTCATAAAATAAGCTACAGTACTTTTTAGTTTTGGGGTTTTTTTCTCCAGCGCATTCTTGTCAGTTCAGACTTCTTTGAGCTGCTTAGCAATCGCTTTTGTTCGAGTCTTTCTTTACATGTGTTCATGTGCAAATGGGACAAAGACAGCAAAAATGGTGACAAGATGTCTGGTAATAATATATCCATGGAATCTATTGAAAAAAAAAAAAGAATTGCAATTTTTATTTGTATTCATGTACAGTATGAACTACAATCTCATGTATCAATAATTGAACATCATCCTCAGGGAAATTAGTTGGACTCCTTACAAGCACAGTCTCTTGTTATTTTTTTCTTTTTTGTTTTTTCTTTTTTGTCATTTTTTTTAAACAATCGAAGCACATGTAAAATTATGATCTGATTTTTTTTTCTTTTTTGCAATGTGTTTTTGAAAATATTTTTTTTTTCCTTTTGTAGAAATTTAACCGTGTGATGAATACTCTCTCTGAAAATGAGAGAGAATGTCCCCAACATATAAGTATCCCTCCCCATACATGGACAGTTGGCAGAATAACACACAAGAATTGGAATCACCTTGGCTAAGGATTTTGCACAAAAATCAAGCTCACTCTGCTGGTATTTCAAGTCCAACATTCTGCATTCAGTCCTAAATCCATTCTGGCTTTCAAGGATCTTCAATCTTACACTGTCCAACTAAAGTAAATACCAATACAGAGACATTCCATTCATTCTGAATAACTCACAACCCTCGACCCAAGTATATATATAAAAAAAAATCTGAACCTTGTTTTTTTCACTGTAGCCAGCGTCAACATTGAATCATTAAGCCACCAAAAGCGTTGAAAAGGAATTGAGCACTGAAAAAAAAACGAAACAGTGGAAAGGGAAAGAATGGTTCACTCACTGGCATTACCAATCAATAAATTCCAACCCTGACGGGGAACAAGTTACTGATTCTCTCTCATAACCAAGTCTTTAAATGCATATTTTCCGTCATGTTTGTTATTCGCCATCTAACTGCTATTGTAGAAAACAAAAGAATTCATTTAGAGAGAGCGAGAGCAGGAGAGGTTTCTGAATATTCAGCACTCCGTTCCCCTCATACTTCTAGCAGACCTCACAGAGATGAAAGCTAAAAAGGCAAGCGGAACTGCCTGGACAGCTATATTGTCAACTGTTTTTTTTTTTTTTTGGTTACATCATGTGACGATTTACACTAAATAACTCAAACGCAGAGACATCATGTGTGGGTCATATCCCGTCCAGAGCCATCTGTAAATATAAGACTACGTTTCATTTTGCCAGTTTTGTCGATGATTAGATGTATTTGTGAAGTGGCCAGTGGGACACATTAAAATATGCTTGTTGCACAGACACCAAAGCGAAAGGCATATCTACCTCCTCTTACTTTCTGTACAAGGTCACTGTTTCCATGGCGACAGGCTGATGGCTAGTTTTTCCTCCTTATTTCTTATCTATTTTTTCACTCCTCTCTCTTCATATCTGCAATATCTCTGTTTGAAGACCCCTCGTGACCATTATAGGTCTGACTCCCTCTACCCAACTGCTGTTCTTCACTTTTCAATTCTACCTTCCCCTTTCCTTAAGCCTTCTCCGTTGAAAGACTAAATGAAAAAACGGAGCGTAAACAGACTACAGGAGAGACAATGTTTTGATGGTCTATAAATGATGCATCATCAAAGAGAGTGTGTGTGTTTGTTTTCCTCGAAGAAAAAAAGCCGAGTGGGGGTCGCTTCAATATCAAAGGCCTCTACCCCCTGTTAGATGTTGGGTAAAGGGAAAGTGAAAAAGTCTCGTGCTGTTTCCTTATCAGCTTTCCTCTGTTAGCCTGCAAATGAACTGCTGATACAGATTAATGAGCTATAACCCATCTTCCCTTATTTTGTTGCAGGTTCCTAGCTGCTTCACTGACTATGTTAGCTCCGTCTGCTTTAGTCTGACAGGGTCACACTACATTACAAAGCAGCCTCATTTGCCTCTTTATCTGTTCTAACAGATGGACTATCAGCGCCTGAGCTTGTGTGACCCTGGGGTGATGGCAAGGTAATGCGACACTGAGTGGACGTAGATCATTACTGGGTTAACAGGGAGGCTACAGACCACAGCCTTATGCTTCCCGTCATTTTCCTAAGCAATATTCTGCCATCGTGCGGCACATGCCGGTAGATAAAGCGAGACAAATGAGACATGGCGAGGGGTGAGGAACGTGCCCGAGCTACGCGACAGCAAGACAAAGAAGCAAGAGGACATGGAGGAGAAGAAAGTGAGGAGAAAGAAGACAGAGGGTAAAACGGCAACATGGAGAATTCATGGGGGTATGAAGAGGGAGGGGGAGGTGAAGGCGGAAAAAAAAGACAGTCAAGGTAAAGCGTCAAGAGTGTAAAGAAAAAGTGGGAGGAGGAGTGGGAGCAAGACCTTAATCTTAATTAAAGTGAAGGATATATGGCTGTTGTTTAGAAGCCACAGGGGAAATGCACATTTACTCATTTGGCAGCTTTGCTCCTCAGGCACGCTGGCTTCGCTGTGATATCATCCAGAGCCGTGCCATTAAAAGATCTAATTTTGTGTTGAGTGACAGCTAGAATAGCATGGCGAGGAAAAGAAAAAGTCATTTTATGTTTTCACGTTTCATAAACTTCCTTCAAATTGGAACTGGTGTGCTGCACTACTAAATAAATGCTTGTAAATACTTGGGCATTGTCCTTCAATAAACCGTGTTATCAGATAAAATGTAAGTAGTGAATGAAGAGCATTGCATTAGAGTTTAAGGCCAATGAAAATAGTGAATGCTGCATTTGATACCTTTCAGTTTCCGTTTTAGCAAACCATTCTTTCCCTTGTGCGGTATTACACAGAGAGATAGAGAGAGAGAGAGAAATAAAGTGAGCTAAAAAGCTATCACAAATTGTTTTTCTTCATTTAGCCACTAGACATATTTTTAATAAATAATCTTTGTTTTTGTAAAGACACTTTTTAAAGTTTCATATGTCGTCCCTTTGCCAAATGCTGACTAATCGCCATAATTGACATCAACTCTGTGAAGTCAATGGCATTCAATTTCTTTTATCTTTGCGTTTTGGTCCATTGTACTCCAAGTGTGTAACGGCTGATGCTGGACATTTAGTCAAATTTAAAATCAGATTTGGGTCTCTTGTACATTGTCTTTTGAGCAAGCTTGAATCAGTAAAGGTTCCTGTGTGGCTGAGCTGTGTATGGTACTGAGCATAGGAGGATGGTGATAAGAGCTCTTGTAGGTGTTGTAGTGGTTGTAGTGCTCCAGAGGGGGCAGCGATAGGTGTCTCTCCATTGCAGCAACACCTGCCAGCTCTTCTTCAACGGTAATGACCTCCATGGAGGAGGCAGGGCCATCGGGATCCTGCTGGTTGTGTTGCTTCCTCATCTTGTAGAAAATAACCAGCAGAACAGCAGCCATGAGTGTGATGGCCACGAAGCAGCCAATGATAATCTTAGTGGTTTTCATCACCTCATCCAGGGATCCCTCTCCCTCCGGATCAAGAACTGGAATGGTGTAAGTCCGCTCTGTGGTCCTTGTGGAAACAGGAGTACCTTTTGTTGTTGAGGAAGACACCCAGCCAAATGGGGGAAGTGGTGTTTGGCTATCCTCCCCCATCATGTCAGTGGTCTCAACTGTGACTGTGGTAAAATAGGTCACCCCACTGCTGTCCAAAGAAGTGACATTAAGCACAGCGGAGGCAGAAATGTTGCCTGCTGTGTTGCTAACCATACAGGTGTAAGTCCCAGTGTCCTGCATTGTGACGCTAGTAAAGTTCAGCGTCCCATCATTGAGGACAGACAAACGCACTTTGTAGGCCCCGTGAGTCACCAGTGAGCCGTTTGGTGTGAGCCAGCTGATGGAGGTCACCGAGCTTGTACGACATTTAAGCTCTGCACCCATGCCTTCGGTCACATTCAAGTCACTGGGTGGCTCCACAATAACAGGGACATCACACTGAAAGTAGCTGTGGTCCAGTTCTCCAATGTAGCGACCTTTCAACGCTGAGGGAGTATGGCAACGTGCACAGCAGCTGGTATTGGCTGGTACAGTTTCCTTCAGCCACCAGCTGAGCCACAGAATATCACAGTTGCAATTCCAAGGATTGTGATGGAGGTGGACCCGCTCTAAGCGATGTAACGGTGTGAAGAGGTCATGGGGTAGAAATGTAAGATTGTTATGAGCCAGGTTGAGCTCTACCAGTGACTGAAGATCGTCAAAGGAATTCCTCTCAATAGTTTGAATCTGGGCATGCATCATCCACAGCTTCTGGAGGTTCACTAGCCCTGTAAATGAACTGGGCTTTATAACAGAAAGCTGGTTACCTGACATTTCTAGCTCTTCAAGCCTTACCAAAGGTAAGATATTGGGGATCTCTTTGAGATTGCACATTCCCAGGTTCAGGTAGCGGAGATTGCTCAGGTCCTTGAAAGCCCCGTCAGAAATATAGGAGAGACGTTTGAGCTCACCTAGATCCAGCCTTCGAAGCGAGGGGACCCGGTTGAAGGCATAAGATGGTATACTTTCGATGGGGTTGTTTCTTAGCCACAATTCTTTCAGCTTGGACAAGTACTCGAATGCTCCATTGGGGATTGTCGTGAGCCGATTATCAAAGAGCTCCAAGGTGTTGAGGCTGGCCAGCCCATTGAAGGCGCCAATTTCAATGCTGCGGATGTGGTTCTTGCTCAGTTGTAGGATCTCCAGATGGCGCAGATGTTTAAAACTGTCCACCTTGATTACCTGAATGAGGTTATCCTGGAGGTTCAGGTAGCGAGTGTTGGTAGAAATGCCATCTGGAACATCCCTTAGACTGCGGCGCGTGCATATGACTTTGCTGAACTGGTTACTGCATGAGCAGACGGAAGGACAGGTCTGAGCACGAACCAGCCCAGCCACCACCAGGATCTGAAGGGCCAAAAGCAGCACAAAGAGGGGGTTGGATAGTGCCCCCTTCAGCCTACGACCTCTCATTGTCTGGCGCTGGAGGGAAGAGATCATTGTGTTCAGCATTCATAGTTCATCCGCTGTTTGTGTTCTCTGTAACGAGAAGAAGCAAAAAAGAATAACATTAAGTACCAGGAAAAGTAGCCGGCAATACATTGCACATGTTGTTATCATGTATGAAGGCAAACTGAATATCTTTGTATATTTAGACTGTTTGGTCACATGAAACAAATGGCACAAAGGTGGAACTTCAAGCTCTGAGAAATTGTAATAGGCATTTGTTTTTCATTCTTTTTTGGCATTTGGACTGAATTGTTGAATAAATTTATACAGTACATTGTGCAGAGAATAATGAAACAACAAGATCAAGAATTCAAAGCCTAAATTAATTGTCAGTATTACTCATTTGTGTATTGAAACACAAGTATTTTTTTAGCTCCTTAACTCTGGACTGTCCCAGATTTTCAAGCTTCACAGAAGCCGACACATCTACACAGGAGACTGAAAATGGAAAATGAGAACTTAGTATCTGCATCCCATCAGAGCCCGACCTGCAAATTTCTTGTAAGCCCCCTTCTCATTGGCATCATAAGACAGAAATTATTTAATAGAATAAAAAGCCTTAGTCATAAAAATTTCAAAAGAAGTGCAATCCACTGGAGTCATTTTTTTTTTTCAGTGGAAGACAAGTCAGTAACACCAAGGCATTATGCTCAGTGAATATGGCACGGCACTGTCAAACACACTATATGAACGACAGTTAAAATTACTTTCTGTCCAAAACACTACTAAAAAAAGGTATGTAAAAAAAATCAATTTCTTCTTGGTTAAAAATGTGCTATAGGTTATATGATACACAGCAGGTTTCATTTAATTTAATTTTGTTTTTACTCCAAAGCTTGAAAATGATCTTTAAGTAAGGCTTTAAAAAAGTGTTACACAATTACTACTTTTTCCTCATTTAAAGCAGCATTCCAGCCCTGTTTAAATTTTATTATGATCCAATGTATGGCTCAAGAGTGTGAAGAGGTCTTATACTGTCATTAAATAACTATAGCAAAATTTCTTATATCCAAAATCAAATGACTAACAAGAAACTCGTTACTCTGCTATCTTTGATTAGATTAAATTGGATTATATTAATCCAGTCACCCAACAGATCTACTTTAAGAATATGCCTGAGCATGCTGAAGATAAAAATAGACCACAAGATTCATACACATACAGCACAGCACAGCCTGTACCTCCCACTTTTACACTGCAGTGTGGATATGATGTTATTGCAACTCTGCCCCCCAAAGATGGTACCCTACAATAAAGTCGTACATGCAGTATAACAAACCTACCCGACATGTGGAGAAAGTATAGGTTTGGCAACATTGTGTCAACCTCTGCTGTTAAGTGATACACACGTCATCCTTCACTGCACTTAATGGGTTCACCAACAGCAAAGCACTCTTGACTTTTGCAAAAAACATTAACCTTGCCTACTGGTTCCTTAGATTTAAGTATTCTCCTTGTCTCTTCCTGGCTCTTCCAAGTGAAGTTATCTGTTAATCATCTCTTTCCATCAACCCACGAGCAAGGAGAAACACGTATATTATGACAGGTGTTTTCTAAACTGTAAAAAATTGTTAACTGAGGCGGAAATGTTCTCCGGTGAGGATGAGTGGCTGACTTAATCAGTAGCAATGAGTCTACATGTGGCTTGGTTTTGCACCAGCCAGTCTGTCATGATAGCTGTGATGTAGTGAGGCTGTGGAGAGACGTGCCTCTGCTGGGGAATCAGATCGAATAAGGCCTCCCACTGGCAGGAGCTCATTTTGTTCGGCTGGAATTACAACAACCCTGCACTGCCACCTAAGAGAAGAAAATGTCAGACATGGCAAACACACTAATACTGATTATTTGCTGTCAATAAAACATCACAGTTTGCACTTCCACTTGAATGCTTAAAGAAAAGAGCATGTCATTGCCACTCCTGGAGTGATTGTACTTTTCGGTCACATGCCTTATTCATAAAGCACTTGATCTAAAACCAGTTTTATCAGCACAGGATGTCTCATTCCATGAAGAGATGGGACATATATTGCATAAGGAAAGGAAAATGCTACCAACATCCTTCCTGCCTTTGTTGCTGCAACACTGCATGGATTAATTTCATCTAGGCTCGCTCAACATGTATTCAGACTCACTAAAAGCAGTGGCTGCTTACATCTAAAATCCTGCCAGCAACATAAAAACACACCCACCCTTACTTCTGCACCAGCCGCCACTGGCATTGTGTGTGACACCACAGTGATTTGCCAAATGCATTTGTTATAATGAGTTTGTTGGAAAAGTGCTAGGGTAACATATGTCTCAATCAAGGTGTACACAGCAAGGAGAGCATTTAAATTACAATGTCAGATGATTAGAGTCTGTCAGTGTTGCACACTTGAAACAACAACATTTTACTCTGACTAGGAAAATGTGTTATAGCGGACATTTCCACACGCTGGGGAAGCAAGCTTGGCACAGATGTCTAGACACTGAATGCTTTCCAGTCAAGAAATTTAGTACTACTTGGAAAAAATAATCTCTTTTGTAGTCTAAATTAGTGAATATCAGAATAAATATGTTAAAAGTTCTCAGCACAAATCAAACTGACGGGAATCTTTGAGGATGAAATGCAACAAGAAACGTTTCATTACGGATCATTTGCATTTGTTGGCAGCTGTTCCCCTCTGAGTTGTAAGGGGGAACTTTGAATTGTGTTGTGCACATTTGCATTTCCACTTTTCCACAAAAAAAATTAAAAAATAAAAGCTCACATTCATTAAGCGCTGTGTCGATCTCATGTTTGTCTTAAGATCATCACACTGATTTCTCACAGCTGATTTCACTTTGTGTGTTATTTACACTTTCAGTTTTTCTTTATTAAATGTAATGGTACAAGAACTAAAGCCAGCTGAAAGAACAATAAAAAAAACTGTCTTCTATATTATTGCATTATTAACTTACTGCATTAGGGAAGAGTGAGTCAAACCAAAAACGAAGTCACATTGTTCATTAGACAATTACTAATCAGCCATTTGCAGTTGATCTGGTGTATATGAAATTGATAGAGTGGATAAAATATGGAGTGATATGAAATGTGGCAAGTATCTCATTGTGCTGGATAAAAAAGGCCCGTGGCCACGGACAGGGCTGCCTGATGAACTGAATATCATCTTCTTAATTCATTCAATGCATTAGTGATTCATTGTATTTGCATACGTTTGTTGCATCTCTTGCTTTTAACATCGTTTGTGCTGCTGTGTAACCTCACAGGCCATCTGGGTCTTGGAAGACCTGAGCATAGACAATGTGCCTTAGACATGGACAAAACAAACAGTGTTTGAAAGTCTCAAACAGTTTGAAAGTCCCATATTATTAAAGTGTTACATTAGCATATGCTTTGTATACAACAACCTGCACCCCATAAGCAACATAACACACATCAGTATGCTAAACAAGGATGATATGGATTTAGAAATTCGGGGGGGGGGGGGGGGTCATTCCACTGCAGGGCAACCTGCCACTGCATGTGGCGAATAAACTTTGAACTTGAACTTGAAATTTACATTTTCATAAATATCTTCCACACATTCCAAGGACGAGTAATGATATATCTGTAAAATTTTACTGTTTAAAGTTTTCACGATTTGCACATACAGAAACATTTCTTTGATTTGCAAACCTTACTCAAACAGTGATCAAGAGTGGACTGTTAAAACTACAATGACAATACCTACTGTGACTGTTTTCTCTACATGTATATGAATTATTTGCAGACTTGTAATCTGTTATGATTTTTGTTCTTTCTGCAAATTATCTAATAAATTAAACATGTCAAATTTTCTTCAGTAGTCATCCAAAATATTTTGAGTGACAACTGATTAATGAATACTTGATCATTTAAAACAATACTAACATCTAAAACAAGCTGACCACAGCACATTTGGGTCTGGACAATGTTCTTTACTTTCTAACATGTCATAAATAAAACTGTGAACTGAAAAAAGTGATATTTAGCTTAAATAATAATTAAAACAATGACCCATTTGATAAATGACTGGAATACAGTGTGAAATGTGTGCTAATATCCAGTGAGGCATCCAGTGTTGTGCCTGAAGTGTTCTTATGCTGATCAGACATACACATTAGTAGCCTATACGTATATGTAAACATCCTGAAAATAATTACTTGTTATGTTAAGTTAGTAATTAGATTTTTGCAAGCGTGACTGTGTTTGTGCCACTACATATTGTCAGTAGGAAGACTACTAGACTTTTAAATCCAACATAATAAAACATTTCTCTCTTTGCTGCAGTGCGTGTGCATGCTGGCATGCATTTTTTGTCCCAGAGGGTATAAGGAGGTGAGGAGGGGGGGCAGCTTTAAAATCTGGCACTGAAGGCCATCATAACCAGCGGCCATCACTGACATGCAGACTGGAAGTGCTTCACTCTCCAGTTTTCGCTTAACCTGAAAGAAAGGCAATTCGCCTTCCTCCATTTTGGCCTCAGTGCTCTCAGTGCTGGTGTTAGGGAAATAAATCTACACATGCTGCCGGGTGCTGCTGACTTATCAGTCATATGCTGTTCTTACAAGAGGAACGGAAATGACGGCTGGTTGTGTCTCAGCACTGAAAGAGAAATGTTTTCTTGAACATTTTTCATTCTATTGGTTTGATCCAATATGTTTTTTAGTATAATTTCTAGCTTGCTTGATGTAGCGATTTTTAAACCTTGGATCTAGGATATGGCCTTGCTGAAGATGTTGCATGTATTGCTTAGCACCACATCTGTCACCCACCACCCTGGCTGGGTCAGTTGTTGACCAAGCAGCTCTTTGCTCTGACTTCCAATCCACTCCTCCCAATACAGTCAGAGTCATGAAAACAGAAAGACCACATTTTGATGTTGATTATTTCTTTACACCCTTTATTCTGGATTACCTTCAAGATCATGAGTAAAATGGCCAGAACAGAACAGGGCAGACACACATCTGAGTTAAGCAAAATGTGGAAAATATTTAGTGGAACGGGCACGTGATGGAAGAAACATCCC